CGATAATTTGAATCGTTCAATATGTAGAACTCGTCGAGTACTATATATCTGTAAAAAATTATATTGGTCGAATATCGATAGTTATATGATCATATCAGTTTTATATGAAAAAATAATTAGTGAAAAATAAATAACTTACAAAAATCTAAATTAATCACATAACTATTAATATTTGTTCAAGGTAATTTTTTACAAATCTATAATACTAAATAAATTTTACATATTAAACAATTTAAGCCTCCGTTTGAGAAGTGGGTTGGCTTTTTGACTATTTTAGCCTGGGCTATTTTAGCCTGGTTTGGGAAAGACTTTTTGGCTTTTTGACTTTTTTGACTTTTTTTGTAAGAGAGAATTGTAATGATTATGGGTTGGATTTGATGTTTTATTTTTTGTGACTAAAATAGCCTATTTTATTTTTTGTGGCTATTTTAGCCCCAAACCAAGTTCCCAAACAATGCCTAAATTATCAAAAAAAAATCTGTAAGAGCATCTCCAACGGTGACTCAAAATTTTCACCAAATTTGAGTAAAAAAAGATCCATTTCACTAAATTGATACCACTCGCGCCAACGGTTCATCTTTCACCAAATCTATCCCGGGACAACCAGGTGGTCGACCGGCCGGTTGACCGGTTAGGCAAATTTTTTTTTTTTTTTTTTTTTTGCGAATTGTCTGAACTTTTTCGGGACGACCGGGGTGGTCGACCGGCTGGTTGACCGGTTAGGCAAATTTTTATTTATTTATTTATTTTTTTAACGGTTTGAACTTTTTTTCCTGAACTGTTTGAATCTTTTACTGGTTGACCGGTTGGTCAAGGCCGGGCAACCGGCTGGTCGACCGGTGTACCTCTTTCAACTGTTAGTAACAGTGATTTGGTAAAATCTGTGTCTCGTTCTCAATTTGATACTTTTTTTACTGAAATCTCATTTTAATATCAATCTGGTGCAACAGTTGAAGCTTAAAAAAATAAATTTTTTATCAAAATTTAAATTTGATGCTGAATTTAGTTCACCGTTATAGATGTTCTAATAGATCTCTATAAACCTAAGAATACTTTTTAATTTATCCTCTAATCTGAACACACAAGAAGAAGCCAATCGTATGAATTTTGGGTCGGATATGTGTGGTGGGACCATAAACTTTGTCCGGTGAAAATACGTGGAAGGCAGTGCAATAATGCACGTAAAAAGTCGTACCCTAGTAAAATAAAAGCTAAAACAACAGCAGAGAGATTGGGTTGTCTTTTCTAGTCTTTTCATGTATCATAAAATATGCTTTTGGAGAGAGAGAGAGAGAGAGAGAGGAGTGAAAATCAGTTTGCTGCGTGAGTCAGTAACCAAGTCCTGCCCTGCATGCAATGCAACCCAGGCGCCTGACAGATTCGCCTGCTTTATCACTTACGTGTTTCAGAATTGGTGCGCATTACGCTCCACCGCTTAAAATCGACTAATTGAAAAAGAAAATACAATTCAGTGTACGGATTTGTAAGATAATTTTAGTAAGTATATATATATTTTAATTTTTAATAAAATAATATAAGGAAATTAACCTCGAAGGCAAGGCCGGTCCTGCTCAAAGGCAAGTAAGATTTCTACCTTAAGTTTTAAAATTTTGACTCAAAAATAAGATTTCAAATTTAGTAAAATAATATAGGTCTAATGGGTTTTTTTTAATTTAATTTAATTTAATTTTTTAGTTTTAAGATCAATTTAAAGGGTCTCAAAATATTTTATTGGATTCATGTATGTTTAACTCATATTTATTAAAATGAAAATATCTATTAAAAAAAAGTGTTTGGGCCCAAGAAAAACAATATATACAATATATGGGCCCTAATTTTTTTTGCCTTATTTATCTATTAGATTTTAGTAGAATAAATAATTTTGCCCTATTTTTTTTATCTAGGTCTTTATCAGTTTTAATTGAATAATTTTTTTCTAATTTTTTGTCTTAATTTTGTTTCATTAAATTGTTTTGTTTATAATTTTAATGATTATATGTGAAGTAAATTTTTTTTATTACTACAAATAAATAAAAAAATTATAACTTATCATTTTATCCATAAACTTTTTTTTTTCCAATGTAAGAGGGGCTCTCATTTCTGAAATTTGCCCTCTAAATCTCAGGGTTGGCCCTGCTCGAAGGAAGAATAAAATAAAAAAGAAATAGGTTTCGTTTGGAAAGTGGGTTAACTTTTTAATTTTTTAATTTTTTTGGTTATTTTAACATGGGACTAAAAAGACTGATTTGATAATGGCTTTTTATTTTTTTGTGAGAGAAAAAATTAAATAATTATAGATTAGATGAGATGTGTTGTCTTATTAGACTAAAAAAAGACTATTTTATTTTTTTGTGACTATTTTAACCAAAAAAGCCACAAAAGCCACTTCTCAAACATGGGCATACTATGGGGGGGCAAGGATCTCCTTCTTGACTCCTCTACTTAATTTCTTACTTAATGGGTCATTGAGTCCATTTTTTGATCGAATTTTGACGATCCGAACCGTTACATTTTAAAATTTGTCATGTATATCATATCTGTAAAATATCAAGTCGATTGGATATCAAAAATCACGTGAACTAAAAGTTTTATTAAACAATAAAACTGCTTATTAATTTTTTTAATAAACGATTTTTAGTTCTTTCAATATTCGATCAATTTGATTTTTTACAAGTATAATGTACATGACAAATTTTAAAATATGAACGATTCAAATTATCGAAATTATGCTAAAAAATGAACCTAATTGTCCATCAAGTAAGAAGTCAAGTAGGAGAGTCAATGTCATGTAAGTATACAAGTCTCCTGAGAGATTATATAATACTCATATATAAATTAAATTTTTGAACAAAACTTAAAATAAAATTAGTATAATGTTAATAACACAAGTAACCAAATATAAAAGGAGTGTTTAGCAAGAAAATTAACCTTTTGTCTAAAATTTAAGAAAGAATAAAATAAATTAAAATAATTATTTAGATAAAATATCATATTAAATTCATAATCATTTTATTTTTTTCTTATAAACATTACATCTAATCATAAAAAAATTTGATCATCTTTCTAAATATACAAATTTTAAGTCTCCGTCTGGGAAAAGCTATTTGGAACTTTTTTGACTATTGTAGTCATAAAAAATAAAATAAACAATTTTAACCACTAAAAATAAAACATCACATCCAATCCATAATCATTGCACTCTTTTCTCACAAGAAAAATAAAAAACGTCAAAAAATTCTTCTAAAAACAAACTTTTTAACCCAAGCTAAAATAATTAAAAAAATCAATAAACAACCTATTTCCTAAAGGACACCTGCGAGTTTGTTTAGGATGTAAATTAATTTTTTAATTTTTTAACTATTTTAACATAAGACTAAAAATTAAAATAATCTACTAAAATATAAACTTTCTAAACACACACAAAGTAAAACCACACATGAAAGTAAACTCCAAATAACTTCGACATTTGCATAGTGTAGCTAAATATGCCTTGTTTGGAATGTGAATTATTTGACTTTTTAATTATTTTAATTTGAAAATATATAATTTTTTTAATTTTTATAAAAAAATAATTATATTTTAAATATAATATTTAATTTTATTAATTTTTTAATTTATTTTATTTTTTATAATAATAATTAAAAAAAAATCATGTCAAACATTTTCATTATGTTATATTGAATTTTTTTTATTAATATATAATTCATCTATACAATTTTATACATCTGAATATACACAATTGAGATTTATAATAATGATATTGTAAATTTTTTTTGTACAAAATTTTTACATATAATAAAATAATTTATAGTGATCTTGAACGTTCAATATCATTTCAATTGGTATTTTTTAAGAGTTATTTGACAAGTAATTTTTTTTAATTAAAAAATTAAAAAATCACTAAAAATATTTAAAAAATTATAAAATCAATTTATACTAAAAATTAAAATTTTTATTTTCTCTCTACTTTTTACACATTATTTTATAAAAAATCATTTCAAATACATTAATTTTTTTATATTTTATTTTAACCTAAAAATTAAAAAATTACTTTAAAAATACTTATTCTCCTTAAGTCCAGGCATATATTAAATTTAGCCCTCCTGATTTGACTTCATTTTAGGTTAAAAAAATACAAAACAATAAAATAGACTAAATAAATTAATAAAATAAAATATTACATTTAATCTTTATAATCACTACACTTTTTTTCATAAAAATACAAGTATTAATAAATCAAAACTAAAAAAATCTCGACAAAAAAAAAAAAAGACTAGTCCATGCATATAAGCTGGTTTTGAAAACTAGTTAAAAGTTTTAACGTTTTTTTTTTTTAAATTTTCTTTAAAAAAAAAAATGAAAAATGATGCGATTAAAATAAATTAAAAAACTGCAAAACAACTTTTAATCCACTGCCAGTTCCAGAGACCATGTTAGTGGATAAATTACACTTGCCCACTTCATATTTGGTTATCTTTTCACTTTTTGAACATTGAAAAATTCTTTTTCCCAACTCTTTATGCTTTGTTATTCCACTTTATTTTTAAAGTTAAAGTCAGTTTAAAATTAGACACAAAAAAATAACGTGACATAATATAAAAAATATATTAAGTTTATATCAAAAGTATGAATTATAGAGTAAAATATTTTTATGCATGAATTATAGAGTAAAATATTTTTGTGCTATATAACTATCAATATGTTATTTTTTGTTTAATTTTTAATAAAAATTAACATTAGAATTAAGAAAAATTTAAAACATAAAAGATGAAGTTGAGAAAAAGCAAGCTTGAAGAGTCAAAATAAAAAAAGTAACTAAAAGTAAAGTGTAATTTATCCATATGCTTGTTGTACCGAGCATTGCTTTGAAAAATAAGTAAAAAATTAGATAGTGTTTGATAGAGTATTTACAAAATATATACATATATAAAATTATAAAAATAATGTGACTTAAAATAAATTTTTAAAAAAAAAATTGAACTTTTTACCCAAAAGAGGCCTAAAACGCAAAACATAGACATATATGATTAAACAACATGAAAATGTAGATCATTGCATTACATTACACTTACACAAAGTTCCAAATCCCAAACGACAAGACGCCAAACACAGACAAACAACCAAACCACCTAAACAAACAACAGAAGAAACGTTATTTCCACTTTCTCGTTTCGTCTGCTATTGTTTTTTTTTTTTTAAAACCAAGGCGACTTACACATGTTTATTTCCTCATCTAATGACAGAAAATAACCTTGAGCTCACGCGGCGCAGAGCACTCATGCATCATAGACGGGCTGTCATGCGCATACGTGAAAGTAGCAGGACACGCGTGCTTGAAAAACTCGGAATAGCTCGAACCCCTACACGTCTGCGGATTATTAAAATGGTTCCTACAACAAAGCTCGTCGGTACCAAAAGCCTCACACCCACTCTTACAGCCCACCACCGTACCGTGGCCCGGCGGCGACCGGAGCTGCAGGGCGGCGGGGCAGGTGGGCAGGAGGTCAGCCCGGCAGCCCACGACGGGGCAGTTGCCCTTGCCCTCGTGCGGGGTGACCGTCATGGGGACGTTGTAGCCGTCGACGAGGCTAACGCCGTAGGAGGAGAAGTCGGCGTTGCCGTGGTGAAGGGTGAACTGGGCGAGGGTAGCGGGGGGGGAGCCGCCGGCGCCGGAGCACTCGAGGCGGCCGCCGCAGTCGCCGGTGGCGCAGGAGAAGCGGTTGCCGGAGTAGGTGCAGTGGGTGCGGGCCCAGATCCGGCCCGACCAGTGTTGGGTAGGAGCGGGAAAGGACCGGTGGGTGAGTTTTTCGAGGGCGAAGCCGCCGCGCTCGAGGACGGGGTGGCCGGAGTTGGGCTGGATGGCGGGCCAGATGGTGAAGGGGCAGTTGTTGACCACGGTTAACATGAGCCCTGGGTACTGGGCGGTGGTGAGGGTGCACAGGATAAGGAAGAGAGACAGCGAGAGGAGCAGAGGAGAGAAAGAAGAAGACATTTTGTTGGTTTTCGGTGATGACGAGAGGACACGAGTTTCGAGTGTGAAGTTGATGAAGGGGCTATGGTCTGTACTTATAGGCGCGACCAAGGCGACAATGGAATATCATATACAAATCTACATTTTGTAGATTTGGATTTGACATCATGTATATTTTTTCATCCTTTTATTTTTTTTAATTATATTATTTCTTGATTTTTTAACATATTTTTTTTTAAAAAAAAGTTACAAAAAGATTCGTTTGGAGAGTGAGTTGATTTTTTTAGTTATTTTAATCTGAGATTAAAAAATCTCGTTTGAAAATGATTTTTTTAATTTTTTATTAGAGAAATAATGTAATAATTATAATTAGATGTGATATTTTATCTTATTTAACTAAAAAATTTATTTTACTTTTTTATGATTATTTTAACCAATAAACCCAAATCTCAACTTTCCAAACAGAAGCAAGAATAATGCTTGGGACCCCCTTTTGGGGGTAATCCCCTCACCCCCCTTTGCCACATGGCGGGTGGTGATTGGAGGAGCAGGAAAAAAAAGAAAAAGAAAAAGAAAAGGTAACCAATGAGAGAGAGGGGGGGTCAAAGGGGGTGGAAGGAAAAGGGGGATGAATCATTGTTACAGAAGCAAAGCATATTTATTTAAACCATTCTAAAGACGTACTTATTTTTAGGCCTTGTTTGACTTATATTAAAAGAATAAAGATTAAGGACTCTAATTTTAAAGTTTTAAATAGAGCATTAGTAATGTGACAATAAGTGGGGCCTACATGTGATGTGATGTATGTGTTTGTATATTGAGAAAAGTTAGGGATCATGAATTTTTTTTATGAAAATGATCATGAAAAATTTATGATCTTTGGATTACCTTAATTAGTATGTGGTGCTTTATTCTAAGTGTAATCTAAGAATTACAAAACTTTCATGATTGTTTTTATAAAATTTTTTCATAATACCTAATATTGCTGTTATATATTAGTTTTCAGAAATACTTCGGACCCAGTGAAATCCACCCCCACAACCCCCAACAGAGCTGGAAAGTCACATGGGGTCACGTGACTTTGAGAGTCATGCACCTCTTCTTTCTCTCTTCTCATTCAGAAGAGATTTGGTTTGTTTTTGAGAGAATTATTTTTGAAAAAAAATTGGAGAGAGAGTTTATAAATTTTTTTGGTTTGGTTAGTTGTATATTTTGAAAGTAATTTTGGAGTTTGGGAGTTTGAGATGATTTGATATTTTGTTATAATTGAATAGATATGTGTGAGAGAAAAAGTAATTGAGAATGAGAGAGAAGAGAGAAAAAATGATTGATTGATATATAAGAGAGATAAAGTAATTTTGAAATTTTTTTTAAAGAAAATCTCAAATCAAACTATTTTTAAATTTTTTTTTTTTAAAACTCATCTCTAAAATTCAAACCAAACATACCCCTCATCTCTACCACATAGACAGAGGGACAGATCTCTCCCCCAACAGCTACTCCCTTTCAAAGACAATCTCTCTCTCCAAATCAGCTAAAGTTCTCTCCAACTTCGTCTTCGCTGAGACCAGAGGTTCCCAAGCAGTGTTCTCATACCTGACTCGCGCTTCGGCTTCGTTCAACACTTTGGTTCAGTTCCACAAAGAGCTCAAGAACTCCAAGTTCGATCACATAGAGAGTACAAACAATGAAAACCCAGTGAAGTATGAGCATAAATCTGAAGAAAACAAAGTGGGTTTGACCGTTAAAGGCAGTGTGGGAAGTCATAGTGCGAGAAAGAGGCATAAACAGAGCAGGAAAAAAAAATGATAGCCTTGTTTGGTTTGTGTTTCTCAAAAAATTTTGAGAAAAATTCTCTACAAATAAGTTTTCAAAAGTAATCAAACCAAACAAATTTTCTCAAATTTTTTTTTCAAAACTTGTTTGGTTTACAAATTTTTCAAACAAATATCTTTCTCATACATATCAAATCAATCACTTTTTTCAAAACTCTCTCTCAAAATAATTTTTCAAAACATCTTTTGAAAAAAAACCAAACCAAACAAATTTTCGTACTTTTTATCTCAAAACATGTTTCTCAAATACAAACCAAACGCGGCCGATAGTTTTGTGATTGAGCAGGTCGGAGAGGTGGTTGATTCGGCGTAGCAGGGTGGTTCGAAAAAGAATAGGAAAAAGAGGAGATTAATTTGAGGCCAAAATAGCAATGGGTTTGAATTCTTTGTTGGTAATTTGAAAAGGGTTTTGTTTTGTTTTGGTAAATTTTTGATGTAATAGCAGGAGAATTTTTTTTCCTCGTTGATTATCTCGATAGCTGTTTGCTGAAATGAAATTTCTTTTTCATGGTTTATGATACGTGTTTTCTTCTAGATAATCATTAATGCAAATTGTTTAGTGGATTTTGAATGGCAATCTCTAGATAAACTGCAATTTTGTAATAGATGAATTGCAAAATTTTGTAGATAAACTGCAATTTTTTTTTCTCACAGGAGCGTGTATCACACCCATTAAAGTGCAAGTAGTGCTGGGGGTGGTAAAATGTGGGAGTATGAATCGGAACTGTTTTGTTTTATTATTTTTTTGTTTTCATGTGGCATTATTAAAATTTTTTTTTAAATTTTAAAATTAGAACTCTTTATCATTTTTTATATTAAAATAATACTAATTATTTTAATATATTATTTTTTTTGAATTACTTTAACTATATCTTTATCATTTTTATATTAAAATAACACTAATTATTTTAATATATTATTTTATTTAGATTATTTTAACTTTTATTTATATTTTATTATCTCTCTATTAAATCACTTTAATTTCAATCCATATTTCACATTTAAAAAAAAAAAAACAAAAAGTATACTAATTTAATACTTTTCAAATAATCTCTAATCTTGGATACTTTTATAAATTACTTTAGTTCAAATTTTAAGTTGGAGAGCGCTATGTGAGTCTTTGGGACCCATCGCGGACTCGTTTCAATAATTTAAATTATTTATTTTATTAAATATTTTGTAATTTAGTTCACAAAAAAAATTTAATGAATCTGATAATTATAACTTATTCAATTATGTTTTTAAAAATAAACATATATTTTTTTAGTGACAAATGTAATAAATTGAACAATTATAATTATTGGTTCGATTTAGTTTTTTTTTAGACGAAATACATGAAGTGTCCGACAAAAATAAACGATTTATATTATCGAAGCGGTACCCATAGTGTCTCCACAGGCCCAAACGACACCCTCTAATCTGGATTGGGGACGATTCTTCTCTTTTAAATTAATGATCAATAAATATGATGATTAGTTGATAATTAGGAAGGTTATAAAAAAGAAAAAGACAATAATATATAAAAATAATTGATTGATTAATTATTAGAGTGGAAACGTGACTATAATTTTTTGAAAATTATTCAATATTCTCAGAGTATCACGTATTCGTATTTCTAACCAATCATTCACAATACTATAGAGTACCACGTGTCTATACTCTGAGAATGTTAAATAAGGGCTATTTACATACAAGTCCCATTTTGTGAACTTATAATCCATTAAGTCTTAGATAAAATTATGTGCTCCTTCAAGTCCCATTAATTTTTAATAGACCAATTTACCATTCCCTCTCCCTTCCTCGACTCAAGTCCCAGATAGATGGCACCAAAGGCTTGGGGGAGGCCGAGGGCATTAGAGGGGTCGTGGAGGAGGAATCGGGAGCGGTAGGAGAGATCGGAGTCATTGGATTTGGGGGAGTGCTTCGAGAGGAGCCCAGGGAAGTAAGACATCACCACGGGGTGGTCGAAGAGGTCTTCACCGTCGATCAGATCGCAGGGGTCGAAACGGAGAGGTGTTTCCACGTGGAATGACGGTCTACATAGCCTCATTACCCTGAAGGCCAGTGAGTGCGCCACCTGCGTACTGCTCATCTCTCTCTCTCTGTGTTTCGAATGCTGTTTGAATTGAATTGAAGCTATATATACATACAGAGAGCTCTCTCTCTCTCTCTCTCTCTCACTGTTTTCACATAGACGTCAATTGGGGTTTCAAGAATTTCCAAATTAGCCTAGTTTGGTTTGATTTAAAAATAATTTTAATTTTTTGGCTAGAACATTGCTCCTGTGGATCATAGATGGAACCAACATAGATGCCACTACCATTAGAGAGAGAGAGAGAGAGAGTGTTTTTGAAATTGAGAGCCTTCTCAGTTTATAATATTCTCAATTTTAATCATGAAAAAATTGAGAAATTTCACAAAATTGATAATTATAAATTTCTTAGTTTTGATAGTTTTGATAATATTTTCAGTTCATACTAGAAAAATTGAGAAATTTCTTAGTTTTGATAATTATAAATTGAGAACATTCTCAGTTTTGAAATTGAGAACATTTTTAATTTTGGGATTAAAGAGAAAAATGTCTTTTTACATGCAAATGGGACTTATTGGTTCAAATTTTTTTTGACAAGACCTAAACTACCACAAAATATGTAGATAAGACTTTTAGGTAATTAATCCATTAAATAATTACACATAATTTTTTGATTTCAATAGCATACAATTCGTAACTCGATGGAAAATTATTCAACAAAACTACAAATTTAGAATTTTTTTGTTTAAAATTTATTCAAAAATATAATTAATGATTTAAAATTTATTTTACTTATAAATTCATCACTTTGGCTCTGTTTTAAATAAAGGTTGGGGCTAAAATATTTATATAGGACAAAATAATTTTAGTCAAATATGACAAAATATCATATCTAACTCATAATCATTTTATTTTTTCTCTTACAAAAGTAAAAAAAACAAAAAAACCTATTACAAACGAAACTTTTTAGCTTAAGGCTAAAAAAACCAAACAGCCAACCCACATCGCAAACGAATCCTTTATCAATATAGGGAGTGTTTGGGAAGTTGGGTGGGAGCCTAAAAGAATTAATGATGAAAAAATAGGATAAAGTCGCTAATAAGATAAAATAGCAAATCTAAATCATAATTAGCCTGTTTGGTTTCACTTTTCAAAAAATTAATTTTTTTTTATTTTTTTTATTTTCACTAAATTTTTTACTAGCTTAAGCCTTTTTTAAAATTTTTAGATATACTTTAAAAGTATAATATTTGTGAAAAAAAATCTTTAAAAAATTCACTAAATATCAAAAATATAAAAATAAAAATTTAGTACATTTTTGTATTCTTGTGTATTTATTAATTTTTTAAAATATTTTGTTACAAATATTTTATTTTTTAGATACATCTATGTAAGGTGTATCTAAAAAAAGTAAAAAAAAAAATGCTTAAAATTTTAAAAATATACACTAAAAACAAAAAAATGAAAAACAAAAAACTCAATTTTCATGAATCTAGAAAATTAAAACCAAACACACTGAATCATTCCTATAATTTTGGAAATTACATTTCATTCCACCCTTTTGAGTTTTTTAATTTAATTACAGATGACCCATTTTATTAATAAATCATCAAGTTAAATAACAGTTTTAATTATATTAAAAATATATTTTAATTAATAATTCATGTAATTTTATTATTGTATTGAAGAGTAGTTAATAATTTTATTTTATTTCTGTTAATTCTATTAAATAAAATTTTCTCACAAAGGATATTTGTAATTTCTAAAATCATAAAAAAAATTCGTATTTTATGCAAATCACATTAAGGTGTATCTGTAACTTTGGACAGAAAAGAAAAACCCACACCGTGTTTTTTGTGGGTGTTTCACATCATCCATGGCCCAAACATGTTTTATTTCACAGTTTATTTGGTAAAAACATACACTTTCATACCGTACTCAATACAAAACAACAATTAATAGTACTTCTTTCTTAATACAACATTTAGATTACAACTATGATGTCTTCGTCCTTCCCAAACCCTAGGGATACTTCTCTGTCAGATCACCTGATCCATACCAAACCAAATGGGGAGTCCTCATTTTTTACCGGAAACACCATCCTCACCGTCCCAGCTAGCTTATTGTTCATCTTGATATCCTGTATGGGTTCGATCTCTCCATCTATGAACCCGTACAAGACAACCCTTTCCGTGGTTAAGGCTTCTATGGCAATCGGTTGCATAGGTGCGTTGTTGGCGATGTTCATGCGCCGCCAGGGCTATGCAGGCGTTGCTCGATGTATTCAGTATGTGGGCGGATTAGCTTACGCGTTCGGATTCTTGGGTATCGCAAGCATATTCCTCCCTGCGACGATGATCTGTTGGGTTTTGTTGCCTGCCGGTGGTTTGATCTTCATAGCTTTCAAGATGAGGTAATAATGCTTTCTCTTCACTAGGGTTTGCTTTTTTTCTTTTTTTTGGCTTTCTTTATTTTGTGGCTTTCAAATGCTTTAATCTAAATTATCATATGCTTTAATTATTGCGCATTAACTTTGTCGGACACCTCTTTAAATTAGGCAGAACCTCACTGATAATCTAACAAAGGTAACCTGTACGATGTAGTACAGAGATGGGATTGGACCTAGTGGTGGTAGGTGACAGGTGGTGAATAGTGGTGGCAGGTGGGTGGTGAGTGGTGGTGGCAAGTAGGTGGCGGGCGGTAAATGGTAGGGGTGGGTGGTGGGTGGTGGCGAGGGGTGGGTGGTGGGTAGCAGGTGAGTGGTGGGTGGTGGCGAGGGGTGGATGGTGGTGGCGAGTGGGTGGCAGGTGGTGGTGGGGGGTGGGTGGTGGTGGCGGAAGACGGTGGTGGAAAATGGTGACGGGTGGTGGCTAGTGTTGGGTGGTAAAAAAAAACCTCAAAACTCAAAACGGAAACATATTTTTTGAGTTTACATTTTTTGGCCAAATTTGTAAACTGAAACCACAGATTTATAAATTAAAAATTTACCAAACAAGTTTTTATTTGATTTTTTAAAATTTTTATAAATATAAACTGAAACTGAAAATGTAAATGTTACTCAACGGCACCTACGTGTTTGGGGAAATTATTCAATACTCCCGGAGCACCACGTGTCCATACTCCAAACCAATCTCCAATTAGTTAGCCCCATGTTGTCCCCCCATCTCCAACATAAATCGTGGGCCCTTGTGTCTCTCCACCAATCAAAACATTATGGAGCACCACGTGTCCATACTCCAGGAGTACTGAATAATCACGGACGTGTTTGTGATGACCGCCGTGGTTAGGTTTTGAGTCGGTAGGAGATGTTGGAGTAAAAAGATAACGGGGATTAGTAAAAAGTAGGGTCGAAATCGGCCAATGGCCCACCCTAGTCCAATATGATAATTTTAGGATTTAAAAAATATATATTAAGCTTCGTTTAGTATTAATTAATATAATTATTTTTTTTGCATTTAAACTTTTGTAGCCTAATTTTTTTAATCTCATTTGATTTGAATTTTTTGATTTTTTTGATTTTGGTAAAAAAAAAAAGTGTAATGATTATAAATTAAATGTGACATTTTGTCTTATTTAACTTATTTTGTTATTTTGTATTTTTTTAGCCCCAAAATAATAGCCAAACTAGGATTTAATATTTGTTTGGGATAAGCTTTTTTATGTTGTTTTTTGTTTATTTATTATTATTTGGTAACTTTTGCCTGGCTAAAAGAATTTTATTTGAGATGATTTTTTTTTTAGTTGAGTTTATAGTTATGAGAGGAAAAATAAAATTATTTTGTCTTATTAGATATTTTAACTTTTTTTTTTTTTGTTTTTATTTGTTAAAATATTTAACCCCTATTCCAAATGAAGCCTTAGTCTATAGGGTCAGCTTGGACAATTTTTGAGCCCATTTAAATTTTATGCTGAATTTGGGATAAAGAGTCTTCGAGAAGTTACTTGTAGGTCCTGTTTGAAATATGTATACACTATTTAATTTAACAACTTTTTGAGTAGACCCAAAAGTCCAATGTGTTTTCCTCTTTCTCTGGGTTTTCTCTCATTCTTTACGTTTTCTTCTCTCTATTTTTTCCTGTGTTTTCCTCTCAGTCTCTTTGTCATGTTTGACGACCGGTCATTACACCTTCCTTATTCTCTTTCTCTTTCTAATATATAGTCACCAGTGACCGACAACCACCATTTATTGAGGTTCACCGGCAACTACCAATCACCGACATCAACTCGTTACTTCATCATCGCCGACAGCAAATAAGAAGAATAGATCTACATGAGATCCGACTAGATCTAAACAAAAAATAGTTACCGGAGTACAATATTTTTTCTATATTTATTATTTCCTTTGATTTTTCAATTTTTCTACATTTTCTCTATTACACACGTCTATTTTTCTATTTTAATGGAGAAAAAATTTCAAATTCTAAATAAGTTGTTTTTAAGTTTTAGTTACAGGCTGTGAAAATTATAAAATTTTACAGTTTTAGTTTTTTAGATGCTGAAATGAATCATACTTTAAAACTGTAAAATTTTACAATTTCACAACATTCTTTAGAACTATAAAATTTTATAATTTCGTAATATGTTTTCCAACTTAATAAAATAATACTTTGAAACTATAACATTTTACAATTTCAACGCTTACTTTTCAGTTTGATCAATATTATAGATTATTTGCTTAAACCCTACAAATATTGAAAAATAATGTATACTTTTTTCCATTATTGTTTGTTGTTGTTATGTTTTTTAACTATAATTTCTCCATTTATTCTTTTTTTTGGGGGGCAATATTATGAATATTCTAGTGAATCTCCGATGATATTCTTGACATTTTTCAGTGATGTTCAGAATACTTTGGCGATGCTCAAAACACTCCGGCGAACTTCTAGTAATGCTTTGACGACTTCCTGATGATGTTGAATATTTCGACGAGTCTTTGATGAGTTTGATAGAAGTCGTTGGATGTAACAGCATTTCTAAAGTTATAAAAAAAAAAGAGTTTTTAGTAACAATTAAAAATATGTAAGACTAATTAGTACAAGTATGTTGTTTTGGGATTAGATGAATTTTGAATTTTGTGTATGAGACTTATTGATAAGTGCCCTAAGAGTTTTAGTCTAGTCCAGTTCAACCTGGCCTACCTATTTAAAAAATATTAATATTAATTTTTATATTATTTAATTGCAAAATAAATTAAAAATATGCATTTCTATACGGTTCCGATTCGTAGCTCGAATCTGTGGCTCGAAGAAGGGTGGAGAAGAGAAGGAGAAGAGAGGGAGGAGGAGGAGGAGGAGGAGGAGGAAGGAGGAGGACTGGAGGGGGCCATAACCACGGGGAGGAGGAGGCGGAGGCGAGGCAGAGGCGGGGGCTGCCGGAGACGACGATCGGGCAGAGGCAGGGGCTACCGGACACGATGATCGGGCAGAGGACGACGATCGAGCTCCTCCTCTTCCCTCTCTTCCCTCTCTTCTGAACTCCTCCTCTTCCCTCTCTTCTCTTCTCTTCTCTTCTCTCTCTCTCTCTCTCTCTCTCTCTAAAGATAAAATACATGAATTACTATCATAATTTGCCCTAATTTTTTATATGACTTTTTGAAATTTTAATTTTTTTAACCAAGTCAGCATATTGCCAAACAACTCCTAAGTGAAAAAACTCAACTAACCGAAGATGGGACAACGCATCAGCTAAGAAAAGGGGAAAATTGCATGTTTCCAAAAAAAAAAAAAAAAATTTTGCAAATCAATGGTAAATTTTATCAACTTTAATAATTAAAGTTACAAATCTTTTCATGAAGTTTTAAATATTTTGTGACAAGACCAATGATTTGCAATTTTTCCTAAACAAATCTAGAACCAAATGTGAGTGACGTCAAAAAAAAAAAAAAAAAAAGGAGAAAAAGGCTGACTTTTGCATTATTTTTAAAAAATCAAAAAATTAAATTTATTTAAGACAAAAATTATTTGACAGGTTGAAGATAAGTCAACTTTTAAAATTAAAAAATGTATGAAAAAGAATTAGGGTAGATTGTAATTTCACATAATTTCATAATTTCATGGGAGTAATATGGATAATCTATTTACCTACTGATGTGATAACATATAAAAATAATTTAAAAAAAACAAAAAAATAATTTTTTTCCATCTTCCCAAATAATTTCAGGTATAAACCAAAAAGTGAAAAATTAGGAAATTTTTTGTTTATTTCTATCTTTTCAGAAGTAATATTAGAGATCTTAAAAATTTTACTAAATATTCTATCAAATGTCTCACATAAATGTGAGATCAACACAATATGATTTTTATGTGAATTCTATATCCATCTAAAACAATTTATAAACTGTTTTATAAAATTTTTAGAATCTGTGACATTTTTTATCTTCCCGAACCCAACTCACGAGGGTACATCATGACCGACATTGAGGTACTGCACCAAAGTTGTAAAGGAAGCGGAAGAGGACGACAGAGGCGAAGGAGTAGTAGTAGAATACGGCATATTGAGAAATAAAAAATAATAAAAAAAGACTCTTTGGTTTTAATTTTTTTTCATAAAATAGGTTCCATGTTTGCAAATATTCTTTATAACATAATTATTTGCACACTTTTTTTTTTTTTTTTTAATTTTTTCATATAACATTATGGTTAATGTGTATGATGGAGATTTCTTTTTTTACTTTTTTTTGCCCAAGACTATTTGATAAGTTATGTGAGAGAAAAAAAAGGAAAAAATTACACAAAAAATTTAAGGTTTGACCCTTATAACAAAATAAACCTTGATTTATTAATTTAATCAATTTAAACTCCAATCTTTTAATTTATTTTCAATTTAAATTATTTGCCTATTTTTATTAAATAATTTTTGAAAAAATATATTTTAGTTATTAAACTCAATAAAAATTGGTATTTTAAACAATTTTTATATACTTACATTGAATTTAATGACTAAAATATTATTTTTTTTGTCAGCTTACATAATGAAAATAGGCAAATGATTTAGATTGAAAATAATTCAAAATATTTAGAATTTGTTTTATTATAAGGTTCAAATTTTTGTTTTGTTTTGTAATTTCCCCTCAAATTTATAAAATATATGTTATTTTTTGTGCCGCTGTACGAATATATATGTAGATAGATTGTTAATTATTTGAAGGGTTTAACAGAAAGAGCACATTAGATGAGAGTTGTAATTGTGACGATTTTTGATAAATGCATTGCATTAATTTTGAGAAACATTTGGAGCACTCATTAGATGCCAAACAAAGGGTGTTGAAACATGCACATTTTTAATATGATAATTTTATTTACACATAAAATTTATACAAAAAAATTTAATAAAAATGATATGATTATATTATTCTTATAAATAAATTCATATTTATAAATGTTTTGTTTTAACTTTAAAATATCATTATATACA